AGAACAAACAATGACTTGAATCAAAAACATGTTAGGAGGTTTTTTTTTCCAGTTTTTCCTCTGTGTCAGTGTATTTTGACTCTTTCAAGGATTTGGAATCTTGTAGAAAAGAAAAGCTTCTATTAATGAATCTTATTTTTGTCAAATTCAATAGTATTTTAAAGCTTGTGGACAAAAGACAGTTTCATTGTTATAAGAAAGTCATTCTTTTTCTTTAGACTGGATTCAAGACTCGATAGACACATTCACTTTGATATGATGGGCTTTTAACATCTTGTTTCTTAATATCTGTTCTTTTTCTCTGCTTTTCTGAGTTTCTGCTCTGTTTTGATCCTAATGCAGCATCTGGTCACTGTTTTGCTTGGAGTTTGGTGACGTAGCCTCACTGTTCAAAGTGAGATCTCTGTGCAACTGCTGTTGTCTTGGCTGAGCCTGCTGCCCAAAGTGAGAGGGAAAACATAATTCATTGAATGTGTATGTCCAGTACTGTAAAGTTTTGCTTACTTCAACAGTTGTTGGTAAGCCCATGTCTGTTTGGAATAGTCATGATTGGTTTGAAGTGACCACCATAAAACCACTCATCTACCTATGACCATAACAGTCTTTCATTTCTGTCTCCTACTAATTTACCTCTCTCTTTTCTTTAAGAAAGAGGTGGAAGTATGAATTCATCCAGATAGACTTTTATTATTTTGTTCTCATGATTTCTTTAACTTCATATTAATGCTGTTATCTCATTTTAAGACAAAATGAATTTTGCAAGTATAATTTTTGCTAGCATGTATCTAAAGTAAAAATAGGTCATCTTAATGATCAGCTAACTTCATACTGCGAAATCCAGGTTACTAGAGCTTTTTGTTTGCTTTAGTTGATACTTCTTTGAGAAACTTTAATTGCTAATTAATTTTTTTTGCATTAACTATTTAGCATCAATAAGCTTTTTAAATCACATTCCCTTTTCTTGGAATATATTTTTTAAAATGTTGTACTGGTTTCAGTGGACTATGTTTTCATTCCTGGTTAAAAATAGTTGTGAATGTGTCTAGAAATAATTTGGTCTATGATAACATGCCATGCCTGACATGGTAATTTGCATTTCTTGATATTATAGATGTGCATTTGTTTCAGAGTAGTAGGAGGAGGGTGGGGGTGGGAGGATGAAGGCAGATGTTGCTAATAGGAGTCCTTATCTTAACAAAAAATAGAACATGCATCTATAAATGTCCAAAGTTAGTCAGTTGTGATATCCACTCAGAAAGTTCTTACTGTAATTGCTTTCTTCTGTGCTTTGTTTTCTTGGGGTACGTAGATAGACAGAATGTTTTTAAAGTCTTTGTCAAAGTGTAGAATTTGGAAAATAAATACATATGATAGAGACCAAATTTGTGGGAATATACGTAGTTAATTCATATATATAAAAAAATTGGAATAAGTATACAAAGTAAAATGTAGAATTTTGGGCTATATTCTTTAGTGGGTTGATAATTTGAACTTGTGCAATTTCAACCCATATTTTCTACTCAGGGTAAGAAGAGAAAGAGCTACAAGTGACATGTCATAAAAATATTATCTTTTAGGGACACTGTGATGCTTCTTTTGTCTTTGTTTTCCATGATTTTTCTATAATTTCTTTCTACATGATAAACAATTTTCACAAAAAACATATGAAGTCCCACAAGTTGGTTTAGCTGAGTGTGGTATCTGACAAGCAGCTATCAAGACAAAGGAGTACAACATGAAGAATGAGAATATGACATGGGATTAAATTCCAGCATTCAGACTTAAAGTATCATTCTGTTTCTGTAACTGCAAATCTCATTTTTAATTGGGATTTGTGTAAGTGTATTACATGATAAGCCTGAGTATCTCTTGCATGTTAATGTAAGACATGTATACTAAAATGTAATGCTGAAAACCACTCCAGAAAGTTACTGTATCACAGTCGGTACCGATTTAGCACAAGTATCCTTATGGATAGTAATTATCCAGCTTTTTATTAATTTGTTAGAATTGTCATATAATTCTGATTTCATTGGACTTTATAAGACAACTTGATCATTGTTGTAGACAACTTTATGCTAATTTGAATATATATGTATATATTAATTGATAGTAGTTTCCTTATTTCTCATAAAATACTTCTCTTTTAATAGAAGAGTTACGGAAATTGAGTTGGTCTGGCATTCCCAAACAGGTTCGTCCAATTGCATGGAAGCTTCTTTCAGTAAGTTGTATTTTTTTTTCTTCTTCCTCTGCATTTAGTAGTAATGTTTTTTTCAAGCATTGCAAATAATTTTGCTTGAGTACTAACTCATCAGTGATACTTGAAAACACTGTGTCTTGTTGCTGAATTGTAATGAAAATTCTTCTCTTTTGCTCAATTTCAAGATTAATTTGTGAAACTGAAAGGAACGGAGTGAGAAGTAGTAGTGAATCGTATCGGCTGTATATCTTTATTTTTCAGGATGACTTTGTATGAAAGAAGGGCTTATGTGATAACAGTGGCCTCTTTCAACCAATTTTGATGGAGTGGTGGAGAGTTCAAAAACAAGTACATTCTTACAGTTTTCTTGAAAGCAGGCACACAGAGTAAAAGAAGCCTATCATGTCCTACAAAAGGCTTCATTTTGAATTCACATTAAAGTAACTGCAAGAAAGGATTAACGCTGTACTGAGGAAAAGGTGTGATGGGATCTTACAGGGTTTTTGACTGATTTTTCTATAGTGAATTAAGATTTACAAGTCTGAACTGCTGTGATCTGTTACCTTGTTGCATTGGCTCTCCTGTGGGTCAGTTCAGGGAGACAAGCTAATTGAAAAGCTAATCACTTTTTTATGGTGTGAGGTTTTTGACTGACTGACCTCCCTGAACTTTGCGTGGTGGTCAGCAGAGTTTGCAATGGCAGCACCTTGGGAATAGATTGACTGAAATACCATAAAACAGCACACAGAGGTGTTTCACTCAGGCATCAAGGACAAGCTTGTGAGAATCCTGGATTCACGGGGTTTGGTGTTACAGAACTGGATTTTTTTAATCTTGGTGTCTGCACTGTTTTTAAAAAGGTTCTTCTGCAAAAATACAATGTATTCCTCATAGGAGTATTTTTCATGTCAATCTTTTCAGCTATAATACTTGCAGTGGCAAATGGTTGTGCATTTTAGCTGTTGTTTGTCTGCCTCTGGTTGGGAGAAGAGCTTGTGAAGATGTTTGTATTGAAAAGAAGTAAAAATCTCATGCTGTCTACTCTCTAGAGACTATGAAAGACACTTTATCAGCAAATCTTCATGCATTTAAGAACTGTTTAAAATTCCGAGTTATACACACAACGGTTTAAGACTATTGAATTTTTCAGAGAGACTTAAATAGCTCTGCTTTTTATAGAGTAATTCAGCGGGGAATGGGAAGTATTTACTTCAGACTGAGACTGATTTCCAGTGACGGAAAGTCACTGCTGATGAGTTCTACTGAATTTGCAGCTTAGTTCCTTCTAATGCTAAATGCATCCAACTTCTTAATGGTAGATATTCCAACATCCTGTTGTAACTGAAATTCAACATGCAGTGTACAATTTATTTTAGTTCTGTTTGCAAAGCTGTTGTCTGAGATTTTGGTAATGAAAAGAATTGGAATTATGCAAAAGACAACTGGAATCACTTTCTTACTTGAAAGTAAGGGCATGGGCTTTCCATGAGCTTCCGCTTCATTCTGTAAGTTGATTTTAGCTTAGTATTTCTGAGATTCCCACTATATAGAAATTCTGAAGTGTAGAGTTCCTGTGTTCTGTTGTTTTAACCACTTCAGTTCAGGATTCATTCCAGTTCAATTCTTATCTTCGACTGTCTTGCCATACCTCTGCAAAGAAACTGTCTTCAGGTTATTTTGTTTTAACTTTAAAAATTAAGTGGATTTTTTTTCCTTTGAGTAAGAGACTTCCAAAAATGTAGTGTGGGTTTTTTCTGTCACCAAATAGCAATATGTTGAAAGTTCTCAGCTTTTGTTATATAATTCTTATCATGATTTCTTATCTGCTAAGTGGTCCTCAATTAATACATTTTAGAAATCCAAAGACAAGTCATTTAGTAATCATTATTTTTCTCTACTGTAAGGCAGCAGCTTGTTTCATCTTCTTCCCAAAGTGGGGAAGAAAAAGTGCTTTGAGTATTTGTGGTCATGAACTGCATGGTGCTTTAATTAATTTTTAAGTCAAGTTAGTTGTTTAAACATGTTACCTACTGCTAATGTACATCCCAGGTAGGAGGGGGCAATGTGATAGTCTTTTGTGCTGTAATGCATGCTCATAGCTACTGGGGAGATAAGTGTACAAAAGCAAAACTGTTTTGGTTAGAGATCAGCTACAAAACCAAAAAAGATCAGAAAACCAAAGAAACCAAAGCATAGTTTAGAGCTAAATTAAAGCTGGATGTGTTTGTTTTGGAATTACTCAAAGTCTTATTAAAAAGCCCAAACTATGACTTATTTGGGGAACTGAGTATAATTGGTAGCATCTGAGGCAGAAGGTGATTGTCTTGTTTGTAAAATCACCGTTGAAGTGGGAATTTTTAAATATGATTTAAAAAATTTAACAGTTGAGATATTTGTTAGGTTAATAGTATTAATGTGTATGAATACAGTTTTTCATAGGGAAAGCATATGAAAATCAATGCTCAGGGGCTGTTGTTGTTATGCTTGTCTACTCATAACAGTATATAAAAAAAAAAGACAGTTTATTTTTAAAATACAGCAAAAACATTAGGTATACTTTACCTAAACAGCAAACAGAACTATTCAAGCTCACTTGTCTTGAATAACAAAACTGAAGATATGGTTGCAAAAGTCTTTGGAGGAAATTAATGAATAAACGGATTAAATGTTCCACCAATTTATTCCTTGATGATATGTTGCAAGCCTTTCCAACTTTTAAAAATAAAACCTAATTTATAAAGTGAACAGGAAACAAGACATGTCCAATTGAAAGATTACTTCAGTCTTTGAAACTGAATAATGGCGAAAAGACTTGCTGAGAAAATATCAGTATCCTTTGAACAATCGCATTTGATCTCACAAATGAATTCTTTTCTAATGGAACTAAGATATCCTACAGGAAAAAAAAACACAACTGTTGAGAATAAACAGAAGGCAGAATGCAATATTTAACTTAATACAAAACACTGGGACAGGGTATTAAATGTCAGACTAAGTCTTGAGGCAAAAGTGAAACTGGTGCAATTTAAGGTACCTGGAACCACGCACAGGTCAGTACATCTTAAAATACATGGGTTTTCCAAAGCAAGTACTGCTTAAAGTATCTGGAATGTGTTATGGTTTCAACTTATTGTTGTCATTTTAAGCTAAGAAATTAAAATATAGGGGAAAAACACTTTAAATGCTTTTAATATAGAGATATTTTCAAAGAAGTCTATTGATGTTTTAGCATGGTGTGTATTTTTTGTTTTTCCTTAAACGTTGAGCAAAACAGAAGTTACAGAAATGGTATATGTTGGGTTGTTGCAGGAGGGTGATGGAACCTATGTACTTATTCTGAGTGTTTAATTAGCAATTTTAGCATGTTAGATTTACCCTTTCCATTTTTGCTTGTAGTGTTTAGGACTGAATAAGAAAGTTGTTTTTGTGGTTAAATGCACAGCACTTTCAGTTACTTGTGGTGGCTATGGCTCATTGTGCAAATATATGCTGTACTTCTCATAACATCAAAAAAAATCCTATACTATTTTTGCTAAGGAAACTTAAGTTCTGTGGGTCAGGGAATCCCAAGCACTAAAATACAGACTGGGTGGAGAATGGATTAAGAGCAGCTCTGAGGAGAAGGACTTGGGGGTGCTGGTTGACTCAACATGACCCAACAATGTGCACTTGCAGCCCGGAAAGCCAACTGTATCCTGGGCTGCATCAATAGAAGTATGACCAGCAGGTCGAGGGAGGGGATTCTCCCCCTCTACTCCACTCTGGTGAGGACCCCCCCCTGCAGTACTGCCTTCAGCTCTGGGGTCCTCAGCACAAGAAGGACATGGACCTGTTGGAGTGAGTCCAGAGGAGGCCACAAAGAAGATCAGAGGGCTGGAGCACCTCTCCTGTGAGGACAGGCTGAGAGAGTTGGGGTTGTTCAGCCTGGAGAAGAGAAGGCTCTGGGGAGACCTTAGAGGAGCCTTCCAGTACCTTAAGGAGGCCTACAAGAGAGCTGGGGAGGGACTTTTTCAAGGGCATGTAGTGATAGGGTGAGGGGCAATGGCTTTAAACTGGAAGAGGGTAGATTTAGATTAGCTACAAGGAAGAAATCCTTCATGGTGAAGGTGGTGAGGCAGTAGAAGTAGTTACCCAGAGAGGCTGTGGCTACCCCATCCCCGGAAGTGTTCAAGGCCAGGCTGGATGGGGCTTTGAGCAACCTGGTCTAGTGGAAGGTGTCCCTGCCCATGGCAGAGGAACTGGAACTAGATGAAGGTCCTTTCCAACCAAACTATTCTATGAGTCTATGATTTCTGACATAAATTTGATTTCTCTGTTTTGCTAATTACTATTAGTGTGGTGATAGCTGTTATTGTGGAAGGAGAGCTTTTGTAATATTGCCAAGAAATACATTAACTGGACTTGACTAGTGAATAATATGAATATTAGATTTTTCTTATTGTCCTGGATGTCCAGATCTCCTTCAAAGCCATTTATCTTTAGAATGATTCTTATACAAAGTATTTTTTCAGGACTGATATGTATGCAAAATATGAACTACTGTTCTTTTTTGCAGTGTGTCCTGATTTGGCTAAAACAGGGCTA